GCAACTTGTCTGTTCCCCTTCCCCCAATTCCCCAGCGCTGTTCCCCTCCCCGCAATTCCCCAATAAAAATCTTTAAAAAAAAAAAAAAAAAAAAAGCTGGGCTGAGGCCGACAGAATTCTGCTTATGTGCCTGCAATATGGTAGAGTACAGGGACATGGCTCTGACCACAGGTCTGCCCAGGTGACCCACAGGCCCACTTGGAACATTTTACTTGAAATGCAAGCATGTGTGCACGTGCACACGCGCGCACACACACACACACACACACACATACAGCATGTCCTAGGTATTTCTCAAGAATGGGATTAGTCTTTCCACTCATTCCAAGGAACTCCTAATCAATTTGGCAAGGAGGAGGAGGTAAAGCCTATAACTGGAGAGACTTCAGGGACTCAGAATGCTAAAGATACATCATTTGAGAGGAGTAATCCTAAACTTTGAGATTGCAACTGCCCTGGGAGCTTCTGGGGGATGGTACAGAGAACAGATAAACACTCCAAAATGGCAATTATCAGTTTCCTAAGCACTGGTCTGGAGGATTTTCCAAGTACAAATTGCCCCTGGGGCCTTTGCACAAAAAGGTTCTTATCTGACATGTTGGCAACAGAAAAAGCCAAATCCTCAACAGCTGGACATGCTCCAGATGACACTTCATTCTTAGAGAAATAAAGGCATACACACCCTGTTAACAACATATGAAAGCTCTGTTGTTTAGTTTGAAAAGGATACCCAAAACACAGGCCCTAACTGCAAAAACTACACATCTGACAAAAAGTTGTGAATTATAGAAGAATTCTCCAGACCACTCACAATGAACATTTTAGAAGAAAGGCAATTTTTACTAAACTTAGTAAAACTTTAGTTAGAAAAAAAACAACTTTCGAAACTTTAGTAAAATCCGTGAGTTACTCCAAATGTCTTCTTGACAAAAATCTTGCCCTACCTACCCCCAAAATTCTATGATCTGTCATTAGCGGCATTCATATGAAAACAAAGAATCAACATCAGACATGGCCCTGCATTCACTGAGAAATGTCATCTGCTAGGGAACTTTTCAGATATTTTAAGTAGCCAGTTACTAAAGCCACTGCAGACAGCACTCCCAGATTACAGCACGTGTATCCAGAGCTCTGCGTATGGCTCACAATCCTCAAGCCACAACAACTGATCAGAGCTGGCATCAGGGAAGCCTAACTGCCAATCCTGTCTACGTCCTTAAAACGCTTGTAGGGAATTTGGGTACGTGGAAAAAACACAGGCTTTAGGGGCAAACAGATGTGGCCCACATTCTGGTTTCCCAGCTCCCAGTATATAGCCTTGGGTTAAGTTAGTTAAAAAAAACCCCTCTGGGCCTGTTTCCTCTGTTTAGTTCGGTGACACCAACTCCACACAATTACTATAATGATAAAATGAGATGACACGTCTCAGTCAGTCAGCAGGGTGCCTGTTACATTGTGGGTACCTACTAAATCCCAGTTCCCTTTTCCTTTCTTGATTTGGTCATAGAACCATGCAATCTCACTTTCAAGATCATCTGAATAGTAAACTCCCCCTTAATTGATAATACTGATGGTCCATACAGTTCACAACATCAGTTATACAAAAAGATTATTAAATTGCCGCTAATTCCAGTTCTCTATGTAGATTTGTGTTTCCATCTGAGTAAGGGGATGCCCAATGGTTTGTCAAGCAATGATGAGTATAACAAAACAAGAGAACATTTAATGTACGGGAGAATGCCTATTTGTTCTTAGGTACTAGTTGCCATCCAATTATACTGCAAACAACAGATGTTCCAATTACAAGAGGCCCTATTTAACTGTTACTGCCTTGGCAGATTTTAACTATTCGTATCTGTTATCGTAGCTCCTTGAAAACGACTCATTCTTTTACTGGCCTCTTCCCCCACATGACCCGCGTACACCCTGCCTTTTTGACCTAATAAGGCTCTGCTGTATAGCCACCTTGCATGGGTCATGACAGCTTGGCAGCTTGGGGGAAAGGGTCAGGGGAAGCGACAGAGGGCGCTTAGTCAGGAACAGAAGGAGAGAGATGTGCAGGTGAAGTTGTTATAGGGAGTAATAAATCGGGAAGGCCTCCTGCAGGGAATTATAAGAGCTTTAGGAATAAAGTAAGATAGGGTGGAGGACAAACAGGCAGGGCACTCTAGAGGTACAGAGAAGGCCGAGCAGAAAGAGGAAAGAGCCCATGGTTAAAGGCCTGGGCTTTGGCATCAGATTTGGTTTCTAGCTCTATTGACCTTAGGCAAGTTATTTAATTTCAACTTCTTCATCTGTGAGGATTAAATGAGATAATGCATGGAAAGTGCTACAAGTTGGTATAATTATAGCTGTGGAGATTGGCAATAGAACAATCAGAAGACAGGTGCTTGGAAGTCTCAGCAATGGAATCTGAATTAAGACAGCTTTTTAGCTTTTGGCTTACGTAGGCGGGAAGAGGCATTTCCAAGGATACTTACTTTGAGAGACCCACAAGCCCGAGGAAAATAGGTCATACACGCCTTCATTCCCTCCAGTGCTGAGAGCTCACACTGTGGGAAAAACAGAAAGGAAGCAGTAAGAGCCCACTGCCCCCAGACTCCATCTACACCCTACCACCCCTCAAGGTCCCTCCTCCATACATTTTCTCTTGGCCCTCCCCTCTTCTCACTTCTTTGATCCTATTCCCCAATCACTTCCCATCACATTCTTTAATCCAAGTGGTCTGAGTGAGGCTGGCACTGCGAGAGGCCAAGGGGCGGGGGCTGGAGGTGTCTCACCTCTGGTCTGAGGCCCAGTAGGGAGGTGAGAAGGCCAGGGAGGTGGTTCATGGAGATGTCCCGGAAGAGTGTAGGAAGTTGGGCTGCATATCGAAGCAGGTCTCTCAGAACAGCCACAGCCAACTCCATTGTGGGAGGTGGGTCCTGGGACTAAAGAGCAACAGCACCTCATGCTTCCAATCTCACCCTCATGGTCACCAAGAGGAGGAGGACTGAGAGGTCTGACAGCATGGAGTTTTTGAGAAACACCACAGTTCACAGTTAATGTCAATATTACCATTAGATCCACTAGGAATACAGTGCATTAAAGCTATAGAGTATCCAAAAGGAACGTATTTGCCTACAGAAAGGACAGTATTTGTTTACATTGTAGTATTAGGGTTATCTGGAGTCCTAGGAATTTGTGTGGGGAAAAAAAAGTAACAAAGCCACACCTTAAAGATCTAACTGGAAAAGCTCAAGACCTTGATTCTCCCATACTACATTTCCCTGGAATGGAATAGAGAAGAGTACTCTCAGACTGAAAAAAAAAAAAGTCTCAGCCACAACTAAACTACCCCATCTCTCCTAGTTGGCTCAAACCTACCCTTGAACTCATGGAGAAATAAAGGTTTGAATTTAGAAAGACTTCCCTAGAAAATTACCATGTATCTAAAGGAAAAAGGATTCAGCACATAGCTCCTGCTAAACCAGAGACAGCCCTGTGCCAAAGAGACAAATAAGAATGCTTTTATTTTTTTAAATTTATGTAAGAGTTTATTTGAGCCAAATAAGAATGCTTATTGAGAAAATAAGAAGTTGGGCCTACCAACTACTAACGGGCCCTCAACACTGTCCAGTAATCCGACTGCACTTCTCCCTGGTTAACTCTCTGCTACCACTGTCATTCTGCATAACCTAACCTGCAACTTCACAGAGAAAACTGAAGCCCAAAGATGGGCACTCCCTCAGCTTCCCACTACCAAACCTGAAAACTCTATCTTCATCCTCACCCACCTTCTTCCCTCCTCCTGTCACACTAGAGGAGGTAGGTCCCCTCCTACGCAAAATAATCCCTCCACTGTGCTTTAGAGACAATCCCCTCCCTTCTTCTCAGAACCCTACACTACTAACTAGCCCTCTCTCCTGTATTTCTGACCAGTCCCTCTTAAATGGATTCTTCCCACTGACATTTATGCAAGCTCAAGTTTCTCCTATCTTAAAATCCTTCTTTTTTTTTTTAAAGATTTTATTGGGGAATTGGGGGAGGGGAACAGACAAGTTGCTGTCCCTTTGTTCCTCAGTCTAGTTGTGGAGGACACCGCTTCACTGGCCCAAGATGGCACCATCACTGCACACTTCCTGGGTGAGACAGATCTGTCGCCAGCGTCTGGACGGCCACTCACGGTGGCTCTTGGCAGCTCACACCGGCTGCTGGCCGCTCACGCTGGCTGCTGGTTACATACTGTAGCCCATGGCAACCCACTGCAGCAGGGGCTGCAGCCTACACCGTCATCGGCGACTCAGGCAGCCCAGCTCCAGGTCAAGCTGCCGTTCACCATATTAGCTGTAGAGGGCAGTGTCACTGGCCCTCATGTGGGATCTGAACCAGGGCCCTGCTGCTCAGGCTGGGGCCCTAAGCCAGCTCCCAATCAACGCGCCACTCAGCCAGCCCATTAAAATCCTTCTTTTAAGCCCGTACTGCAATCGTGCTATGTCAGTTATTTCTCTTCCTTACCATTAGAGCCAAACATTTTAAAGGATTGCCTATCTTCCCTATTTCTATTCCTTTTCACACTCAATTCTCATTCCAGGCAATCTGGCCTCCATGTAGACTGCCCCACCAAAAACACTGACTCCAGTCCTATAGCCCTTTGAGTTGCTGAATCTGATAAACAATTTTCAGGCCTCATCTTGTTCCACCTCAGAGGGGCATAAACAGAAAGGATTCCTCTCTCTTCCCTTGGATTCCATCCAACTCACAAGCCTAGCTGTCTCCTCTCTGCTGCTCTGTCTCATTTTCCTTGGTAAGCTCATTGCCCTCTATCTGACCATTAAATGTGGAGTGCCTTAAAATCCAGTCCGTAAAAGGACTCACCTTGATCATCTCGTCCTCATCCTCACTTCCAACTGCCATCTAAATGCTGAAGACTCTTCCCCTTTGTGAACACAATGACTGGAGTCCCCCCACCCACTGAACCCTCAAGGTTAATACTCTGAGACACCTGGCCACTTCCACTCACACCAGATCAGGGGTATGCTTACGAAGAGGGCTTCTACTGAATTAAGGCCATACTCATGGTATTTTTACCCCTTGCCTTTGAACCTGGCTGTCTTCCAGTGTTCTGAAATCCCGAAGTCCTCCTGGACACATCCTCTCCCTGACCGAGCTCCGTCATCAGGACCTGTCCACTTTGCCTCTAACTCTCTCTCGAACTCATCTACTTCTCATTTATTTCTACTACCGCCATCCTAACATAAGCTACTGTGAATGTTCTCCTAGGTTACTTCAGCAGCCTTCCACGTGCTCTTTCTGCTTCCATTCTGGCTCCTTTGTAGTCCTTTCTCCACAGAGCATCCAGAGTGGTCTTTTCAAATGAAAATTTGATCATGTCCCCACCACCACTGCCTCTTCCTCACCCCTGCTTAAAACCTTCCATGAATTCCCACAATTTCAAGAATAAAAACCAAACTCCTTAACATGCCTACACCACCACAGATGGGCCCCACCCATCTACCTCCCTGGTCGCACGCCATCAGCCCCAGCCACAACAGCATGCTTACAATTCTTCAAATGGGCCAAACTCCTCTTCTCTCAGGGTTTTTGCACACTCAGAACACTTTTTTAGCCCAATTTACTCCTACTCATCAGTTCAGAAAAGCCCTCTCTGAAACACTGATGCTGATCATCATCACCTATACCACTTCAGAATGGATCAGATTCTCTTGTTACATGTTTTTAGAGGACTATATTCTTTACCTCCATACCTCCGTTTATCATTTCACACTTACCGGTATAATTATTCAATTAAAATCTCTTCCACTAGAATAAGGATCAGCAAACTATGATCTGTGGGTGCCTGTTTTTGCATGGCCTACAAGCTAAAAATGATTTTTACATTTTTAAAGGGTTGGAAAACTAACAAACAATATGCCATAGAAACCATGTGGTTCGTAAAACCTAAAACATTTACTATCTGTAAACATTTATTTCATAGAAAGCTTCCCAACCCATGCGTTAGACTCCAAGCATCATGAAAGCAGGGTCCAAGTCCATCTTACCACTGTCCTCCAGAGCTTAGCACACAGCCTGCCACATGTGCTCAGAATATTCTTGTTGAAGAACTAAATGGACAGGTTATCAAAGAATGTAAGAGCAGAAAAACAGTTAAAATGTTAAAATAAAGGAGTAGGCAAAAAAATGAAAATTAAACACCTGGAAAAAGGAACTTCAGAGATGTTACTCATTAGAAAAGCTAACGAGAAGTGAAACAGTCAGAGGTTACAGTGTGTAAAAGGTCATATAGGTTAAAAATAACCCAGTAGATAAAAATATCAAAAAGTTTAAAAGGATTTCTATTTGAAGCTTATCCTCCCTTCTATCAGGAAACTGCTTCTAATTATTCTGTCCTCAGAACTAAATGTCCAGGCCACAGAATACACCACATCCAGAATGGAGAATAAGGGATGGCTGGGGGAGGGAGGGGGCGGCAGCTAAATCCTTACCTGCAAGACCTGCTGAATGCTCCGAAGCCAGGAGACACAGTGCTGCTGGAACATCTCTGTGGAGCTCTCCGCCACCAGCAGGGACAGCAGACAGAGGCCATCAAACCTCATAGGAAAGAAGTGAGTGACAACAAGTGAGTGGAGGCAAGACTTCAGAGAAAGCTATCTACTACTCTTTTACTCTCACTGGACTACAACAAGACTTCATCTCCAGGTCACTGTGGTTTCTAGCTCCTGAAATACTTGGAGGACTTTGAGTGAGGTACCGGCAGGAAGGAAAAAAGGGAACAGAGGAAATCCCAGGTGGGGCATAGGGAACTTGGGAGCTGGAATAGGTGGGATTCAATTCAAGCAAGCTTATGAAAAGAATGACTCTCCAGGGCCGGCCGAGTGGCGCGATGGTTAAGAACTCGCTTGGGATGCCAGAGGGCCCCGGTTCGGATCCCACATATGAGGGCCAGTGACACTGCCCTCCACAGCTAAGATGCTGAACAACAGCTCAACCTGGAGCTGGGCTGCCATGAGTCGCCGGCGACGGCGTGGGCTGCAGTCCCTGTGGCAGTGGATTGCCATGGGCTACCGTGTGTGGCCAGCAGCCAGTGTGAGCGGCCAGCAGCCGCAGTGAGCGGCCGTCCAGAAGCCGGCGACTGATCTGCCTCGCCAGAGAAGAGCGCAATGATGGTGCCAACTTGGGCCAGAGAAGCAACGTCCTCCACAACTAGATTGAAGAACAAAACGACAGCAACTTGTCTGTTCCCCTTTCCCCAATTCCCCAGCACTGTTCCCATCCCCCCAATTCCCCAATAAAAATCTTAAAAAAAAAAAAGAATGACTCTCCAGTCTCTTGAGAATGGAGAAATCTCTTGAATCCATGGAGTGGTGAAAATGGATGGACAGATGTATAGATCGCTTCGTAAGGGAACATCCCCCTGGAGGAAAAAAAACAAGGTTAAAGACTTACCGAGTTTTGATAGAACCGAGACGTGCATTACTGAGACCCACTAACGCCCCAACAGCTGAAAGGCTCTGGAGGAAAGAAAACAGGGAAGTGAGTCAGGAACAGGATGCTAAAGATGCAGAATTTCTCCAAGCCCTTTCCTGTCCTGGCACCTATGAAGCCTTTTCTGAAGTCACACCTCCTTTAAGGCCAAAAGACCACTCCTCTAGAGGCCTTCAGCCTTTGCCCTATTTTCAGTAAGTGGCAGACACAGCAGCCTGTTCCACAGGCTTTCCTCATGTTATGTCTTGCCTGACCCCTTCTCCCACTTCCCAGCTACCTTCTCCCAACAAATTAGTGCTATACATAGGACAGCCCAACTCATCCCAGCTACCAGACCTCAAAGACAGGTCTGCTTCACCTGTGCATCCATGAGCAGCACCTAGCACAGAGGAGACTTCCATATATGCTTGCTGAATGGACACTGCACTCATCTGTTACCCTTCCTCCTTCACCCCCACACAAACCCCCCTCCTCCTGCCCCTGCTGCCTTAGAGCTGTTAAGAATGCCAATGCAGGACTAATTAACCGGAGCCTCCTTCCAACCCTCTCTTCTCACATTCTGAGAGCCTCCTCAGCCCTCCCACAAGTAACCTCTCCATCCACTGAATGGTCAGACTCCTCTCAGGGCCCCTGCATCACCCCAACTGTACTCACTCATTCTTTCAACAAACATATATTATGTACTGAGTCAAGTGAAGGAATACAGAGCCAAATAAAATACTGGGTTGTCAGAAAAGTCATGATGTATTTTTTCTGTTTTTCATTGCAAAAATGCGTCATGACTTTTCCGACAACCCAATAAATAAGGTCCCTGCTCTCATGAAGGAAAATGTTCATTCATTTACTCAATAAATATTTATTTAACATCTACTTCGTGTAAAACACGGTTTCAGATGCTGGGGAGCTTATATTCTAGTTAGAGGAGACAGAAACTAAACAAATGACGAAATAATAAATAGCATGTTGGGGCCGCCGAGTGGCTCAGCTGGTTAACAGCTCGCTTGGGAGCGCCAGCTCTGAGCAGCAGAGCCGCGGTTCAGATCCCACATGAGGGCCAGTGACGCTGCACCCTCTACAGCTAAGATGATGAACAACAGAAGCTCAACCTGGAGCTGGGCTGCTGTGAGTCGCCAGCGACAGCATAGGCTGCAGCAGGCTGCCGTGAGCTACGTGAGTGGCCAGCAGCAGGAGAGAGCTGCCATGAGCCACCATGAGCAGGCGACCAATGACCGGCGACTGATCTGCCTCACCCGGGAAGAGCGCAATGATCATACCAACATGGGCCAGTGAAGCAATGTCCTCCACAACTAGACTGAAGAACAAAACAGCAATTTGTCTACCTGACTGTTCCCCTTCCCCGATTCTCCAACGCTGTTCCCCTCCCCCAATTCCCCAATAAAATCTTTAAAAATAAATAAATAAAGAGCATGTTGGATGGTGCAAAGTGCCACGAGGAAGAATAAAACAGACTAAGGAAGGGCAGGAATGGATGGAATAGTATCTTATGTACAGTAGGCACAAAAGCCTTCTCTAAAAAGGCCATTTGAGCCGAGAACTAAAGGAAAGTGAGAGCAAGAAACACTGATACCCTCATTCACTGCTAATAGGAACATAAAATGATGCAGCCTATTTGAAAAAGTCAGTCTAGCAGTTCTCAAAAGGTTATAAATACCAGTAGTTACCCATATGACCCAGCAGTTCCGCCCTAGGTATATGCCCAAGAGAAATGAAAACATATGTTCTCACAAGAACTTATATATGAACGTTCACAGCTTTATTCATAATAGCCAAAAATTGGAAACAACCCAAATATCCATCAATTGATGACTAGATAAACAAAATGTAGTACATCCATACAATGAATTATTCAGATAAAAAAAAAATGACAGGGCCAGCCGAGTGGCTCAGTTGGTTAAGAGCGCGAGCTCTGAGCAACAGGGTCACAGGTTGGATTCCTACATGGGCCAGTGAGCTGTGCCCGAGCTGAGCTGCCGCTGAGCTGCCAACAGGTGGCAGGATGGCTCAGCTGGTGAGAGCCCGTGCTCCTAACAACAAGGTTGCCGGTTTGACTTCCTCATGAGATGGTGGACTACACCCACCCGCAACTAAGATTGAACATGGCACCTTGAGCTAAGCTGCCCTGAGCTGCAGACAGGGCGGCTGGATGGCCCAGTGGTTAGAGCATGCGCTCTTAGCAACAAGGTTTCCGGTTCGACTCCCGCATGGGATGGTGGGCTCACCCACCCGCAACTAAGATTGAACAAAGCACCTTGAGCTGAGTGGCCACAAGCTGCCAACGGGTGGCTGGATGGCGACTAAACTTGGGAGCTGAGCTAGCTACGCCCTCCACAACTAAGATTTAAGGACAACAACTTGGCTGTTCCCCTTCCCCAATTCCCCAATAAAATCTTAAAAAAAAAGGAATGACATTCTGGGACATGGATGAACCTTAGAACATTGTGCTAAGTGAAAGAAGCCAGACCCAAAAGGCCACATACTGTTGATTCATTTATATGAAATGGTCAAACCCACAGAGACAAAAAGTAGATCAACGGTTGCCTAGGTCTGAAGGGCATAAGAGGGGGTGAGGGGAAATGGAGAGTGACTACTGATGGGTAGTTTCCTTTCGGAGTAATGAAAATGTTCTGAAACTGGTCATGGTGATCGTTGCACAACTCCACAAACATACTAAAAATCACAGGATTGTACATTTTAAATGGGTGAGTTATATGGTGAATTACATCTTAATAAAGCTTTTTTTAAAAAAAGCATACTGAAAAAAAAGATTGTTCTAGGCAGAGAGAAAAAGAGCAGAGGCAGTGAGATGACAGCAAACTTTGCATATCTGAAGACTGACAAGGAGGTGAACTGTCACTGGAGAAAAGTAAGCCAGGGAGAGGGGAGTAATAAAAAAGAAGGTTCCAGCAGCAGGGCCAGACCTTGTGGAGCTGTATAGGCAACTGCTGCCTTTTACTCTGAATAAAAGTCATGGGGTGAGAGAGGCGTGGGGCAAAGTTACTGTCTGACTTACGATTTTTTTTTTTTTAAGATTTTTATTGGGTAATTGGGGGGATGGGAACAGTGCTGGGGAATTAGGGGAAGGGGAACAGACAAGTTGCTGTCGTTTTGTTCTTCAGTCTAGTTGTGGAGGACGTTGCTTCACTGGCCCAAGTTGGCACCATCATTGTGCTCTTCCTGGGCGAGGCAGATCAGTCGCCGACTTCTGGACGGCCGATCACTGTGGCTGCTGGCCGCTCACGCTGGCTGCTGGCTACATACGGTAGCCCATGGCAACCCACTGCCACAGGGGCTGCAGCCTACGCCGTCGCCGGTAACTCACGGCAGCCCAGCTCCAGGTTGAGCTGTTGTTCAGCATCTTAGCTGTGGAGGGCAGTGTCACTGGCCCTCACATGTGGGATCCGAACCGGGGCCCTCTGGCATCCCAAGCGAGTTCTTAACCATCGCGCCACTCGGCCGGCCCACGATTTATTTTTTAAAAACACATCAACAACACCTGTCTTGCCTTGTTGTGAAGGCAGAAGCAAGAGGTTGTTGTAATAATCCAGGAGAGAGATGATACAGCTTAAAGAGTATGGTAAGAGTAGGGATACAAAGCATCAAGTTCTGGATATATTCTAATGGTACAGCCAACAAACTGGATATGGGTAGGAGATGAAGGCAAAGATAACAAGATTTTTCCCTTTAGCAACTAGCATTTACTAAGAGGAGGAATATTGCAGGAAGAGCAGGTTTTGGGGGTGAGAATCAGGAACTCAGTTTCAGTCTGAGATATCTATTTAACATTAAAATATGGATGCCAAATAGATGTTGGGTAAATGAGTCTGGCGATAGAAATCCTAGTTAGAGTATGAATTTGGGAGTTGTTAGTCATGAAGTTCAATTAGCTCACTGAGGGAGTGAAAAAAGCAGTATAAGAACTGGGTTCATAGGCACTCAAATATTTAGCAGTCAGAGAAGTGAAGGCGAACCAGTAAAGACAAGAAGGGCCAAGAGAGAACGGTAAAAGGAGAAGCAAGAGCGAGTGGTAACCCACAAGGCAAGTGAAGAAAATTTTGCAAGGAAAGAGTGAGCAACTCTATAATGCTACAGATAAGTCAGGTGATATGAGGACCCAAATTTGGCCTTTGAACTTAGTATCTGGAAGATCACTGATTACCTTCAAGAATTACCATATGGGGCCGGCCGAGTGGCGCGATGGTTAAGAGCTGGCTTGGGACGCCAGAGGGCCCTGGTTCGGATCCCACATATGAGGGCCAGTGACACTGCCCTTCAGGGCCAGTGACACTGCCCTTCACAGCTAAGATGCTGAACAACAGCTCAACCTGGAGCTGGGCTGCCGTGACTCGCCGGCGACGGCGTAGGCTGCAACCCCTGTGGCAGTGGGTTGCCATGGGCTACTGTATATAGTCAGCAGCCAGTGTGAGCGGCCATCCAGAAGCCGGCGACTGAACTGCCTCGCCCGGGAAGAGCGCAATGATGGTGCCAACTTGGGCCAGTGAAGCAACATCCTCCACAACTAGATTGAAGAACAAAACGACAGCAACTTGCCTGTTCCCCTTTCCCCAATTCCCCAATAAAAAAATCTTTAAAAAAAAAAAAAAAAAAGAATTACCATATGACCCAACAAAGGGGTGTTTCGGTGAAGTGGTTAAGTTGAAAGCCTAAATGGAATGAGTTCTATAGGACAACCATTATAGTAATAATTCATTCAGGGAAGAATCTTTAATGGATGCTAAAACAAGTGGGTGAAAGATTGACAAGACACAAGAAATTTTATGTATCTCACCACGGGACAATTACTAATTACAAAAGGAAAACTGTAACTTGACAGTGAAGAAACCTGGCAGATACCAACTTATGCCAGTGATCAAAGTTAACATCACCTGTAATGGGACAAAGAGACATTATGTTCCTCCTGATATGATGTATCCAGAATGTCATTTCTGTAGTGTTGCTGCCAAAAATGTATAACCTGAATCAACAGGAAGCAGCAAACAAACCAAAC